TGGACAGACATGTAACAGAACAAATTACAATTTATACAAATATAGATTTCTGATGTGGAAATTATTTTCAATTTTTACTTGTTTTTTAAATTTTTTTTTATTTTTTTATTTCTCGTTCACATGTAAATAAATATTTTTTCTGTGATTTTATAATAGATTATATTTAATTTAACTAAGCAGATAAAATTCTGTAGAAAAAAACTATTACAAAATTATTTTTGCATTCTCAGTTTTTAATATTTAGAAATTCTATTTCAAATAAAAGCAAATACCTGTCAAATGTTTTTATTTTTGCTGATTTAAATCCAGAAAAAAATCTGTAGAAAAACGATCTTTTTTTGTTTGTTGTTGTTGTTGTTTTGTTTTTACAGTTGATATCTTTTGTTATTTTCTTTCTGCAATTTTGTTAGATATTATTTTTAATCTAACTTTAGCAGAAAAAAAATGATAAATTTATTTAGCATTTTTCAATTCTTAATATGTAAAAAATATATATCTTTAAAATAGCAGCAAATATCAGCCAAATAATAATAGTTTTGCTGTAAGTGCATTGAAAATAAAACAAAACAGATTTTTGATGTTGGCATCACCATCATCATCGTCATCATCATCGTCATCATCATCATCATCATCATTATTATTATTATTAGTAGTAGAAGTAGTATTAGTAGAAGTACTTTTTAAAAAAAAAAAAAAAAAGGTTAATGTGTAAATTACAACTGTTTTTTTTTCTGTAATTTTACCAGATTTCACCTGAGATTTAACAAAACAAGTAAAAATCTGTAAAACACCAGTAAACTGTTTATATCATCACAGTTATAAACACGTTTGTTTTGCAGCCTACGTAAATAGAAAATACTTTAATTCAGCCCAAAGTCTGCAGCCAGTCGTCAGTAAAAACCCAGAAACTCGGTGTCATAGCTAATTAAAATCTCTTTATTACAATCACATGTACATCATCATATTCCAAAAAGCTTGCTGTGGTGAAAAGTCGCGCTGCACAGACGGATGGACGGACGGACGGACGGACGGATTGTCGGACGGACTGGAGCGAGTGTCTCGGCTGCAGTGTGCTTTTAATTCCACATCACATGAGGACAGCGGCGCTATTTTCAG